GCTTGAGAATGTCATAAGTTCACATGTGTTTTGATCAAATCCTGCCCTCACTCCCTCCTTTCCATTTCCCCTCCCCACTGTCACCACCACCTCTTTCCCCTCCAAGCTTCATATGTTCTTTTTTTTAAACCCACTGAGTCTAGGGGCTGGAGAGATGGCTCAGCAGTTAAGAGTACTGACTGCTCTTGCAGAGGAGCTGGATTCAAGTCCCAGCACCCACATGGCGGCTATGAACTGTCCTTAACTCCAGTTCCAGGGGAATCCGAAGCCCTCTTCTGACCTCTGCAGCATTGCATGACACGGGTGCACTCACATACATGCAGGCAATACACTCATACACATAAAATAAAAATAATAAATAAAATATTTTTCAAAAAATTCTTATTCTAATTTGCATCTTACTGATGAATAAACAAACTTTTGAAATGATTTAACGAATTAGCTATCATCTCTCTCTGTCAGGAAGCAGTGACAAAACAGTGGGGGCTGGAGAGATGGCTCAGAGGTTAAGAACACTATTTGTTCTTGCAAAAGACTGGGTTCGAATCCCAGCACCCACATGGCAGCTAACAACTGTCCGTAACTCCAGTTCCAGAGGATCTGACAGCCTCTTCTGTCCTCTGCGGGCATTGCATGACACAGGTGCACTTACTTACATGCAGGCAATACAAGTATACACATAAAATTAAAATAATAAATAAAATACTTAAAAACAAACAAGCAAAAAAAACTATAAAACAGTATCAAGGATCTGAATTCCAAAGACCTTCCCTATCCCAAGGACAAAAATGACTAGAATAAAGCACTGTTATATTTGAATTAAGGCAAAATTTAAGTTAATTTGAAAATATTATTGATCTATATGTCTTGTGTAATATGGAGAAGTGATTAAGTTTTCAGTCTCCAAACTCACTTAGCCATCCTCTTGGGCTCTAGTGTACTCCTCTCTCCCCTCACATGGTCCTTAGAGCACTAACCTGAGAACTGGGACTGCTCAATGCTGGACCAGTTGAGCCGGTTCACCATCTTGAAGCTTTCCTTTAAGGAGTCAATATTAGAGCACCAGTCTGAAGGAAAGGCTAAGAAGAGAAAGGTGGACAGTGAGCTAGGAGGTAAGACAGCAGTCAGCACATGCAAGCTTCTGACACCTACCCAAGTGCACAGCTGCCTTAAGACAGCTGTGGAGCCCGGCGTTGTGGCCCACGCTTTTAGTCCCAGCACTTGGGAGGCAGAAGCAGGCGGATCTCTGTGAGTTTGAGGCCAGCCTGGTCTACATAGCGAGTTCCAGGCCAGCTGGGGCTACAGGGAGACCCTGTCTCAAGAAGACCAAATACGTGTACTGAACCTAAAAGACCCACTACTAACTTCCTAACCATGGCACCTCCACGACAGTCAGAAAACAGCTTGTCCACCCTCGTCCCGGCTTTCTCTGCACCCTCCTTACTCACCAAAGCCAGTGCTGTTGATGGGTGCCTGGCTCTGTGCCTGAGGCTGTGGTGGTGGTGGCTGCTGGGCAGAATGGGAGTGAGGATGGTGCTGATGGGGGTGGTAGCCTCCATGCTGCAGTGGGGGCGGATGCATGGCCATCACAGTTGGGGGGCCATAGCCTTCGGCTGCAGCTTGCTTTCCCCCTGCTGTGGTACAACCATCAGGGCTTGGGGTGTGCAGTGGAGGGGCACCCCCTACAGTTGAGGGGCCCTGGGCAGGTGCCTGCTGCTGCTGTGGCTGTGATTGTTGGGGCGGTGGTGGAGGCTGTGGCGGCTGCTGCTGTTGCTGTTGCTGCTGCTGCTGAGGCTGTGGCGGTGGCTGCTGGTACATGTAGTAGTTGTTAGAAGATGACATGTCTCCCAGGAGAGAGGAAAAGCCTGCAGGTCGAGGAGGAAGCAGGCAAGTAACATGGGCTATGAGCTTTCACTAAATGACATTTTCTATGGGTTGGGATGAGAGAGAAAGACCTTAGAAGAGCTAAAAGGGTAAAAGGGTCTGTGGCCCCAAGGATCCTGTGTCTCTCATTGTAGATAACAGACCTGAAAGCAATTAAGTTAGGGGAAGGCTTGACCCACTGGGGACCATGGAAGCACTAATTAAAAAAATTTCACTGATAATCTTTTATGCTACTTAAACTTTTTTCTAGCCAAATCAGTGAGCTCTGGGTTCAAATTGACCCTGCCTCGATATATAAAGTGGAAATCAGTTGAGGAAGACATTTGATGTCAACCTACTGTCTCTACACGCAGGGCACACACATTCACACATGCACATGCATGCACACACACACATGAAGTAAATATATAGTAACTTCAAAGGGTTGAACCAGATCACCTCTCTAGGAACCACCCAATAAGGACTTCAAGTCATTCTTACATAATAATTATGGAAATTTGCAAATGGACCAGACGTTAGCTGCTACTAAGGAAGTCCTAGTCATTGTGTTATCAGTGGTAATGGTATGGTAGAAAGCTACAGGAAAGGTCTTATCACTTAGTGATGCATACTGAAATTGTGTTCATGAGTGGAAAGACATGATGTTCTGGAAATGCAACTATTCCACTTTGAAAAAGCTCAGTGGCAAATAAAACAAACTTAACGAAACATTGGTGACTATTAAAGTTAGGTGATGGAAACACAGGAGTTTTTATTATTTATTCACTCTACTTGAGCATTTGTTTGAAATTTTTCATAATAAAAAATAACAAACAAGGGCTGGAGAGATGGCTCAGAGGTTAAGAGCACTGGCTGTTCTTATAGAACACTGGGGTTCAAATCCCAGCACCCACATGATAGCTAACAGTCATCCATAACTCCAGTTCCAGGGAATCCAACACCCTCCTCTGTCCTCCACTGGCAGTGTACAACACTAGCGTGTTTACACACATGCAAGCATAACACTCATACACATAAAAATAAATAATAAATAACAATAAAAATACACTAGGGGCTGGAAATGTGCTTGCCTATCATGTATGAAGCCCTGGGTTCCATCCCCAGCACCACATAAACCAGGTATGGTCTCAAGTAAATAAACAATACATTAACTCAAAAAGAAAAAGTTCTTATAATAAAGCATAAGGACGCTTGGGGAGCAGGTACTACTGCTGCCCTCTAGTGGTCATACTCTAAATGAGGCTCAGAGCCTTAAAAATCACCCAGCTCCTTTTTTAAAAAATAATATTTTATTGGGGCTGAAGAGACGGCTCAGCGGTTAAGAACACTGGCTGTTCTTGCAGAAGACCCAGGTTTGAATCCCAGCACCCACATGGCAGCTAACAACTGTCCGTACCTCTAGTTCCAGGGGATCAAATACCTTCTGTCCTCCTCAGGCATTGCACGACATGGGTGCACTTACATACATGCAGGCAATACACACATACACATAAAATAAAAATAATAAAAATAAAATATTCTAAAAAAAGAGGAGCTGGAGAGATGGCTCAGTAGTCAAACACTTGCTGCTCTTGCATAGGACCCAGGTTTGGTTCCAGGCACCCACATGGCAGTTAACAACTGTCTGTAACTCCAGTTCCAGAAGGATCCAACACCCTCTTCTGGCCTCCATGGACACCAGGCATGCGTGTGGTGCACTTACAAACATGCAGGCAAAAGATTCACACACATAAAATAAAAATAAATAAGGAAGGAAGGAGGGAGGGAGGCAGAGAGGGAGGATGAAAGAAAGGAAGGAAGGGAGAGAAAGGGAGAGGAAAAAGAGAGAGGGGGAACCAGGGAGAGAAAAGAATGTCATCACTTGTTTGAAAATATCAGGCTGTAAAAAATAAATAAATAAATAAATAAAAATTAAAAAGCCGGTCATGGTGGTGCATGCCTTTAATCCCAGCACTCCAGAGGCAGAGGCAGGTGGATCCCTATGAGTTCAAGAACAGCCTGGTCTACATAGTGAGTACCAGGCCAGCTGGGGCTACAGGGAGACCCTGTTTCAAAAATAAACTATCAAGCTGTCACACACCCATCCCAAGTCTAGACTCACCATGCTGTGAGGAGGAAGACTTCTCCAGCATGGATTTGTAGAGGTTGCGGAAGGACCAGCTTAGATCCTGAAAGTTGATCTCTGAGTAGGAGAATTTGAAGTCATGGTTGGTGTTGTAGAGGGGAGGGGGACCCTCTGTGCTTTCTCGGCCTGGAGCCCCTGTTGCCACTGCTCCACCATCCACAGACCCTGAGCCCTGCAAAAACAGGTAAGAAAGTCGTGCTCTGCATCCCTGCTGGAGGACCCGTGTAACCCTCCAGAGGCCACCGAGCCCTCTTCATCCTCTCCAGCTGTCCAATGACACCACATCGCTTGCTCTTCTTTTCTCATTGGCTCCTCTCTTGCTTCTGGCCTCTTTCCTGTCACTCTCCTTTTCCCCTCTGCGTGCTCTGCCCTGTGTTACCCCCATGCCCCTCTGTCCTTGCAACAACTTTTCTGGCTCTTTCTCTTCCTTATTTGTCCCAAATTCCTTTACGCTTTGTCTCCCTCCCTCTTTTGCTTTTTCTTTCTTTCCTAATTTACCTACTGCAGATCCTCAATAAGTCATTTTGAACAGTTAGCCCACCCCGCTCATCCATCCAATCGCCCTGTGCCCCTGCCACCACTGCTTCCTACCTGGCTGTAGCTGGCCAGAGCTGAGGGGCTCTGAAGTGACATCTGAGGATTCCCTTCATGAGGCAGTGAGGCTTCTCCACTCCCCGGAACACCTCCCCGGGGGCTTTTGCTGGCCTCCTGTTCTGGAGAGTCTTGGGATAGCTGAGAATTGTGACAGAAGAGAGCTCTATAAGCAGAGAGGGAAACACCTACCCAGACCCGTGTTTTCTTGTCCCATTTGCCAGTATTCCACCTTCACCTTAGAAATGGCTAAATAGGCAAGGAAGGAGGTGGAAGGAACAGCTGGCTTGGAAATGCCATCTCTCCAGGAAGAAAGAACTTACATCATCATCCGGAGGGTGTCTTCTCTTTCTGGAAATGTCAGGGCAGGTGTCAATTGTCCAATAAGAGCCCTAGAAGGAAATCCAACCCCCGCCCCAGAAGAAAATCATTACCTATATATAGAAGTTCCCACCTTTGGAAATACAGATATTGAGGTAGATATTCTTACACCAATCATATTGAAAAACAGGACCAGGGTTGAGGGTGTAGTTTGGTGGTTATGGACAAGGCCCTGTGTTGGAACCCCAATATAGAAAAGAAGAGAGGGAAGAAGGAAGGAAGGGAGGGAAGAGAGCGAAGAAGAGAGAGAAGAGAAACAAACAGAAGAGAAAAGGAAGGGGAAGCAAAGCAAAGGCTGGGGCTGGATATCCACACAGAATCCCCAGGGTGTTGAATATGAGGAAGGAATCTGTCCTCACATTCACTGAGTATGCCAGAAATATTTCTGTGGTCCAAATACTGGCTTCAAATTTTCCAAAAGGGCAGAAGAATAGTGGTATTTATTTCAAAGAGCTGAAAGTAGCCAGAGGCAGCCCTTCCCTTCCCTTCCCTTATGACCTGAAGCAAAAATCCCAAGTACTTCAGCCTCTGTCAAATGGGGAGACTTCTTCATCCTTTTCCCTTTTGAAGGTAAAGTCCAAAGACTTCATATAGAAAAGTTTCTAAAAGATTAGTAGGCAAGATGGGTATGGCACTCAGGAGAGGGCAAGTTTAAGGACAGCCTGGGCTATATAGTGAGACCCTGACAAAAAGAAAAGTAATTAAGCAAATATTTTACATCTAAAAACCAGTGCCACTCAAAAGAAAAGAGGAGCCAGGTATGGTGAAGCACTTTTAGCCCCAGCACTTGGGAGACAGAGGGTGGCAGATCTTTGTAAGATGGAGGCCAGCCTGGGCTACAAGGAGACTCTGTCTTAAAAAAAATAAAAGGAAGCTAGACATGGTAGCGCATGCCTTTAATCTTAGCCCTCGGGAGGCAGAGGCAGGTGGATCTCTCAGGAGTTCAAGGCCAGCCTGGTCTACATAGTGCGTTCCAGGCCAGCTGGGGCTACAGGGAGACTCTGTCTTAAAAAGACCAAAAAAATAAAAGGAGATCTTACCAGTCTGAACTATTTAGTGAATTCCAGACTAGGCTACAGAGTAAGACTGAGCCGAGAAGAAAGGAAAGGAAAGAAGAGGAGGGCCTCAAAACTCAACTTCATCATAAACATTTCTATAAAAACAAAGAGATTTCACAATATCCCTTAGTCACCCATTCTCGTGAGGGCCCACAAGTTTGACAGCCATGCTCTTCCTTTGAGGAAACACAAAGATGTATTTTTAATTAACATGGTTTCCTCTTCTAGGTAATTAGAAGAGCCGCAGGACTCTGTGTTAACTGCTCTACTCTCCTTCCTGCTCCTCTGATTCCTACGGCAGTGTCTCACCTTCCCAGGGTCATCCCGAGGTCTGGGCACCTTCCGGAAACACTTGTTGAGAGAAAGGTTGTGTCGAATGGAATTCTAGGGAAGCAGAAAAGCAAGTCAGGTCCGAATATCAGACAAAGCACAATATTTTTTAAAAAAGGCACAAAGGGGACACAGGAGAACATACAATAAAGTTCAAATCCCAGGGCCACATCAGGCACCCTTTCCCTGTACTGCTGAAGGGAGTTAGATACCAGAAAGCAAGAGGCACGGAGTAAGAAAAACACAAAAGGTAAACCGATCAGACGCAATGGCTACAAAGTCGATGACCAGCTGATTTTATAGTTTTTCAACCTTCCCACCCAACTGACAACAGGTATATAAATGCCTCAAGCCAGGCATGGTGGCACAGGCTAGCACTTTGGAGGCTGACATAGCAGGATCAGGAGTTCAAGGCCAGCCTGAGCTATATGAGACCCTGTCTCCAAATACCAAAATAAGTAGGTAAACGAAAAACAGCTAGGCATGGTGGTACATACTTAGCATCTCGCAACTTGAGAGGTAGAGGCAGGAAGATCAGGAGTTCAAGGCCAGCCTAGGCTACAGGAGACTGCCTCAAAAAATAAAGGAGTCAGGACCCACGTCTCACAACTGCCTGTAACTCCAGTCCCAGGGAAATCTGACACCTCTGCCCTCCAGGAACACCTGCATTCACATGTATAGACACACATAATACACACATAATTAAAAATTAAATAGAAAAAAGAAGGCAGACATGGTAGTCCAGACGTGTAATACTAGCATTTAGGAGGCAGAGGCAAGAGGAGCACCACAAGTTGGAGGCCAGCCTGGTCTACACACTGAGTTCTAGTGCAGTCTGGACTATCTAGCAAGACCCTGTCCTGAAAAAGGGGTGTAGGGGCGGGCTAGAGAGATGGGTCAGTGGTTAAGAGCACTTGCTCTTCCAGAGGACCTGAGTTCAATTCACTGCAACTACATTGGGCAGCTCACAACTGCTGGTTACTCCAGCTTCTGGGGCATCTGATGCCTTTGGCCTTCATGGACATCTGAATTCACATGTACATACCTACACACAGACACACATATACACATAATTAAAAATAAAAATAAAATCTGGGCTGGAGAGTTGGCTTAGCAGTTAAGAGCACTGGCTACTCTTGCAGAGGACCCGGTTCGGTTCCCAGCACCCACATGGCAGCTAACAACCATGCATAACTTCAGTTCCAAGGGATCCCACACCCTCTTCTGGCCTCTGCAGTCATTGTACACATGAGTACACTTGCATACATTCAGGTAAAAGGCTTATACACATAAAATAAAAATAAATAAATCCTCCCCAGATTAAAAATAAATAAAAATAGGGGCTGGAGAGATGGCTCAGAGGTTGAGAGTACTGATTGCTCTAGCAGAGGACCTGGTTTCAGTTCCCAGCATCCACATGGTGTCTAAAACCATCAGTAGCTCTGGTTCCAGGGGAATCCAATGCCCTCTTCTGACCTCCATAGGCATTGGACAACACAAGTGCACTTACATACATGCAAGCAATACACTCATACACATAAAATAAAAATAATAAATAAATAATATTAAAAAATAAAAAATATTTTTAAAGGGGGGCGGTGCTGGAGAAATGGTTCAGCAGTTATGAACACTGGCTGTTCTTGCAGAGGACCCAGGTTTGATTCCCAGCACTCATGTGGCGGCTAACAATCGTCTATAACTCCACCTTTAGGGGATCTGATGCCTTCTTCTGACCTCCATAGGCATTGCACAACACAGGTGCACTTATACACATGCAGGCGATACATTTATACACATAAAATAAAAATAGTAAGGGCTGGGTGTGGTGGCACATGCCTTTAATCCCAGTACTTGGGAGGCAGAGGCAGGCGGGTCTCTGTGAGTTCAAGGCCAGCCTGGTCTA